GCACACACACACACACACACACACACACACACACACACACACACACCACACAGAAAACATAAAAGACACACACACACACAGAGAAAACATGAAACACACACACACACACACACACACACACACACACACACACACACACACACACAGAGAAAACGTGAAAGATGTGGTCCCTGCATAAAACATTTGACTTCTTATGTTCTGAGAATTTTCAATTCCCCCGGCATTTTCAACAAACTCCATTTGTGTTTCTATTTTTGTGTGCGCACACACTTTGATAGCACATGTGTTGAAATCAGAGGACAACTTGCAGGAGTCTTTTCTCTCCTTCCACCATGTTGGGCATGGGGATCACACTCTGGCTGTCAAGCTTGGTAGCAAGCACCGTTACTGACTGAGCCATCTCTCAGCCCTCATTGTATCTCATTTGATTTTGCCCATCTTGTTTCTAACCCCTCAGACCTTTCATCACAATGTTCACCCTGAAGGGTGGGGCAGCTATCCTAAGGGCCTGAGTGGAAATCAGTGCCCTATGACAGCTGAAGAGACAACACACTGTCCAGCATCAACCACAAACCCCAGGCAACTTCTCTAGACTGCCAAAAACACATAATGGACACAGAAAAAGACACACCATTTGCGGAGAAGACTCATCAGGAAGCAAGTTCTTAAAACCTTCACAATTGGTAGAGCTGGTGGGCCGGGCACCACAGCGTCAGGGTGACTATCATTTTCTTCTTTGGTTCTGAGCACTCATTGTGACATCATTCCAAGTTCCATGCTTCTCTGTGACTTCACCAGGAGATACAGAGCTTGTCTGACTGCCCATCTTCATGCGCGGACATACTGATCTAAGGCTTAAATGATTAACACCTTGAATGGGCATGGATCGCTTTCTCACCCTGTGAACACCATTCATTTCAGAAGCTCTGCTTCTGCTGCAACTAGACATGTCACTCAGCGTCTTGAGTAGGAAAGAGAAAGAGAAGGTCATCCGTAGACTCTTAGTCCAGGCTCCTCCTGGGGAATTTGTGAATGCCTTTGATGATCTCTGTCTGCTTATCCGCGATGAGAAGCTCATGCACCATCAGGGTGAGTGTGCCGGCCATCAGCACTGCCAGAAATACTGTGTTCCACTCTGCATCGATGGCAACCCAGTCCTCCTGTCTCACCACAATGTGATGGGTGACTTCCGGTTCTTTGACTATCAGAGCAAACTTTCTTTCAGGTTTGACCTGCTCCAGAATCAGCTGAGAGACATCCAAAGCCATGGAATCATTCGGAATGAGACTGAGTACCTGAGATCTGTTGTTCTGTGCGCCTTAAAACTCTACGTGAATGATCACTACCCAAGTGGAAATTGCAATGTGCTGAGAAAAACAGTCAAAAATAAAGAATTCTTAATCGCTTGCATAGAAGACCACAGCTACGACAATGGAGACTGTTGGAATGGTCTTTGGAAGTCTAAGTGGATCTTCCAGGTAAACCCATTTCTAACCCAAGTAACAGGAAGAATTTTTGTGCAAGCTCACTTCTTCAGGTGTGTCAATCTTCATATTGAAATCTCCAAGGACCTGAAGGAAAGCTTGGAGGTGGTCAATCAAGCCCAGTTGGCTCTCAGTTTTGCAAGGCTTGTGGAAGAACAAGAGAATAAGTTTCAAGCTGCTGTCTTAGAAGAGTTACAGGAGCTGTCCAATGAAGCCCTGAGAAAAATTCTACGGAGGGACCTTCCAGTGACCCGCACCTTGATTGACTGGCAGAGGATCCTCTCTGACTTGAATCTGGTGATGTACCCCAAGTTAGGATATGTCATTTACTCCAGAAGTGTGCTTTGCAACTGGATAATATAAAGGACTGCTCCTGGCTGTTGTCTCAAGCTAAATGTTTGTTTTCTGGGGAATGGGTGCTTGCATATAGCTGAGAAGTTCTTGGACTTGTAATTAGCCTGCCGCTAGTCCCATGCAATTTTAAAGAGGGAAGAGAATAAGAAATAATTTTATATAGACGGTATTGACAAACATGGCAAGGAAAAGGGGTGGATATATCTCATAATGTTAACTGTCACAAATTCAGAGATACTTATGAGAGCCTAAAATAACTTGATAGAGGGGGAATTGCCAGGATTAAGACTGTGACTCCTGTGTGTTCGTGTGTGTGTGTGTGTGTGTGTGTGTGTGTGTGTGTGTGTGTGTGTATGTCTGTTGGGGGTGTTTTTATCTTCTCTGTGTGTGTCTGTGTATATGTTGGGGGTGTTTTTGTCTTGTGTCTGTGTGTGTGTGTGTGTGTGTGTGTGTGTGTGTCTCTATATGTGTGTCTATATGTATGTCTCTCTGTGTGTGTGTGTCTGTGTCTGTGTACCCATGTGCCTGTATATCTATATGTTTGTGAATTCAGCCTCTCTTTGTAACTGAGTAGGTCTGCACATGCATATCACTCTGAAAATGCTACCTCACATTATTCCATTCAGTCTGAGACCAACCAGAAGTAGGTAGATCTTAATAAATGACATAGGGTTTGGATATCCTATGAAATGAGTTTATCTCAAATCTCTCAGTTGTGGGGCAAGAGAAATGGCTCAGTAGTTAAGAGCACTGGCTATTATTCTTCTATAGGAACTGGGTTCAATTCTCAGCACTCACATGGTGACCCACAATTGCCTGTAACTTGAGTCCCAGTGCCTCCTGGGATCCTCCATATACATAGTGCTCAACACTGCATACACATACAAGAAAAACACTCAGACACATGAAAATGAAGGGGATTAGTAAAGCTGCTTCCACCTCCCTCCCCACACCCTCATAAGGAGAATGTGGAATTGCTGTAAGTCTCTGGGCTTTGAGAATAGCAGGGTCTAAAAACCTAATGCTTTCTTCATAGCAAGCTTTGTACTAAATGTTTTACACACAGCATTTCCTATCTGTCTGGTTCTAGTATTAAGCCCATTTTATATTTTAAAAAAACACTAAGGTTTCAACTTGCTCACATCACCAAGAAATATAACATCTTAATCTAGTCTGTTCAGGCTGCTACAGTAGCCTGTGAAGTGTGGGGCCCGTGAGATGGCTTGGCATATAAAGATACCTGCTGCTAAGCATGAAAGGTCCCTGCTACCATGCCTGAACCTGAGTTCCATCCTCAGGACAAACATGGGGGAAAGAATGACTAAATGTCATACTCCATGAGATCGGCTATCTGGAGAGGCTTGTTTGATCATGTGAAGAATCCAACGTGAAATGCTCCCTTCCCATGGCAAAGGCCTTGATTCCAAATACTTAGTCTCCAACTGATGCCACTATTCGGGGCAGTTTCTGGGAACTTTTAGAGCCTGGGCCTATGGGAAGAAGCAGGTCGCTGGGGACATGGTTTTCAATGGCTGCTTTCTGCTTCCTCATGTCTGCATGAAGCAAGCAGTGCCCTCTCCCACAGGCTCCCGCCCATCAGGATGTCTACCCAAACATGGTCAGGAGCCAGGATCGCCGCGGACTGAACTCTCTAAAGCCGTGAAGAAGGGAACCCTTCCTTTCCTATGTTGTTTCTGGCAGATGATTGGCCACAGATAGGAGAAAACCAAGTAGCACCCAGGCATGGTGTGCTCTGCTGACATTGTGAGGGCAAGCCAGCACACAGCTCAACCCAGTCCTGGGTGCCATCGCCCGATCCATGCTTCCCTGGATCTTATCTCTACCAACTGTTCTTTCAGTGAATTCCCTGCTGAAATCTCTAACAAGGACTGGAACGCAGTCGGTAGACCTCATCCTCCAATCCTGACTTATCTGTAAAGGAAAGTAGTTTGTATCTTGAATTCATGCAACTGAAAAATGCTCTGGTTCCGTCCCATAAACACTAGAAAAACAAGAGCCCATGGAGGAATTTTTAAACATCAAACCTTCCCCCAACAAATGGTTATTTATTATTAATCTATTGACTTCTGTGTGTACATGGTGTTTGCATGCTTGTGGGGGTGGGGGTGGGTGGGGTGTGTGTGCACATGCCTGTAGAAGCTGCATGTCCATGTTGGGTGTCTTCTTTGATCATTTTCTGACAGTCTCTCACTGAATCTTGGGCCCATCAGTGTGGGTAGCCTGGCTAGCCAGTGACCCTCTACGATCCTCCTGTCTCCACATGTCACTCCTAGATAGTGGCCATGCCAGCTTCTTTTCCTCAGGTGCTGGGGTTAGAACTCAGGTCCTCATGCTTACACAGGAAGCACGATACCTGCTGAGCCGTCTGCTCACTCCTGGCTCTTTAGCTTTATTAGAGAATTCTCTGGATATGTCTTAAAAAACACAAATTCTCAGAGTCCATTCTGAAACATTCTCTCTCTGTCTCTCTCTCTCTCTCTGCCTCTCTCTCTCTCTCTCTCTCTCTCTCTCTCTCTCTCTCTCTCTCTCTCTTGAGATTGAACCTAAGACTACTTGCCCTCTATTACTGAGCTACACCCCCCCTACCACCGGCATATCTGCATTTTAAAACAAGCATCAAAGCATCAGAGGTGTCTCTGATACAAAGGCTACCAGTCAGGACCACACTTTAGGAAATATTGCTGTAACCTTAAAATACTATGCCTAATTCCTGTTTTCTTAAAATCATTTCCCAGAAATCCATTGCCCAGTGAAAGCCATTTTGACTACTCACTGTACATGGACCAAATCCAGGATTTCATCTGCTATTAAAAAGAAAAGAAAAGAAAAACAAATCCTAAAATAAAGCAGAAAATAAAATTGTTCTCCTGAACTAAAATGAAGCCATCAGAAAAACCCTTTAACAGAAACATTAAGTAGTTTGTGATTACAGGGGTGAGTGGTTTTTCTAGATCATTCCAGAACAGGACCCAAGAGTCTATGGAAGAAACTCCAGAGACCTTTAGCTCCCCATCTATATCATTGCTTTCTTACAACTATGAGAAAATACCCTGACAAGAGCAAGTTAAGGACAGGGAGGGTTTGTGTTGTCTAATGGTTTGAGACTATGATCCATCTTGGCAGGGAAGTGCTGGTGGCAGGAGCGAGGTCACACTGTACCCAGTGTCAGAAAGTAGAGGGTAAGGAAGCCCAGTGCTTAGCTCACGTTCCCTTTAGCATGCCGTCCAGAACCTACTTCCAAGGAAAGATGCCACCCACAACTGGGGTGGGTCTTCAGATTTCTAGTAACTCAATCATGCACTTGCATTCCCAGGGGTTAACCTAGTCTAGATAATGCCTTACTGGTAAGGTCAGGGCCTTCTTTCCTGGTTGATCCTAGACTTTGTCAAGTTAGTGATCAGTACTAATCGTCACACATTCCAACATTCAGCCTTGACAATAACATCATTAGCTGTGTTTGCAATCCCAGCCTTCCTGTGTTTGCAATCCCAGCCTCCAGAAGGCTGAGACAGGAGGATCACAAACTCAAGTTGAGACTAGCCTAAATGATGTCATGTCTCTAAAAGAAAAACAAAAACCATTAAATATAAAAATATTGCTGATATTTTTAGATATCTGTCACATGTACAAATGGTAGGAAGTGCTTAAAATGTAAAGTATTGATCTATTTTTCTCCATCTAACTTTGTGGAGTTGTTTTCAACATTAAGGATACATAACAAAAATTTATATTTGATAATCTTTTACATAATGCATGTATCATAAGCATTGGCCCCATATCATTCAAAATTTCTTAAGCATGTCAATTTAATTATTTACATGGTATTCATTCTATAAATATACCATAACGAGACAACCATTTCTTTCTTCATATATAATTTAATTTTTTAGGATTTCTCCTTCTATGAGTTACTCTACAATGAGCATATATTTTTCTACACTTTGGGTTATTTCTAAAACAAATTACCCCAAGTTTCATATTGAAAAGAGACAAAGGCATTAATGCTCACACTGCATGTTTCCAAATGCTCTACAGACACATTCTTAACAAATTTATAATCCCTCAGCAACATTGGGAAAGTTCGGAGCTGGGCAGGATGGTTTACACCTATAATCCTAGCACTAGGGAGCTAGAAGCAGGAGGATCAGGTCTTCAAAGTCATCCTCATCTATATGAGTGAGTTTGAGACCAGCCAGGCTACATGATTTCTACCTCACAAAAACACAAAAGGAAGGAAGGGAGGGTCTAACTAACCACAGAGGTCTTGATAACCAATATCAATTTAGTATTTAAAACAATATGGTGCAAAACCTGGAAACGTATTTCATTAGCTTATGCCACATCAATACCAAGTATATTTCCTGAAGAAAATTTTCTCTATAAGGTGACTGGCATGGAAATTGCAGTTACTAACTTTTCTTCTCTCTCTGTCTCTGTCTCTGTCTCTGTCTCTGTCACTCTCTCTCTCTCTCCCTCTCCCTCTTCCTCTCCCTCTCCCTCCCTTTCTCTCCTCTAAGCACTCTCTTGGAAGCAATGTCAAGTGAAAACTATAGGTACATTTATTTTCCCCTTTCCTAAAAATCATCGGTTTTTGTATTTCTATCTCTGTAAGTGCTTTTCTTGTTTCTTTTCTTTGCCAACTTATTAATAATCTTTGTTACTTCCCACTTAATAAGTTTTCTAATTGGCCTACCTTCATTTCTTATTCGATGAAGCTTTCCTCAATTAACTTTCATAACCCTTTACTGACTACCCGCTGATATCATTCACAATCTTGATTAAACACCTCTTTGTCACATCAATGGACTAGAGAGTACATTTCAAATTCCCTTAGCCTTCCAGGGTCTGAGAACTGAGCAAGCTTATTACTCTTTATTATGGACCACTCTGGTTCCTGTGGGCTTCCAGAATCTTTTCCAAAAAGCCAGGACTGATCACCATGCACTTTCTCTATCCCTAGATTAGAGCAAAATGTATTTCTAATTAAGCATGAGACTTGTTCATCTTAATCTAGGTGTACATATTTTCCTGTTTCTCTTAACAAAGAAGAAAGTGCCTTTCATTTATTAGCAAGGGAGCAGAAAACTAGGAGACTCTGTGTCAGGACACCCAAGTTCAAGTCTTTATTCTAACTATTACTACTTTTACAAGATGGGAGGTGGTGAAAATGCATTCATTACTTCACTGATACTCAGTTTTTCCTTCTATTTCAACCCTGAAATGAGACACTTCTTGGGCTGTAAGCCTGCAACATCGAGGTGATATTTTACTGATTTTGTGCGAGCAGTAAATGGTTGATGAATGAATGAATAAGTATCCAAAGCAAAGAAAACTTCTCAGACTACATGCACATTTCAGGATTCTAACATCCAGATGTCCTTATTCCAAGCATAGCCTAGGATTTTAAAGGTCTTCTATGCCTAGGACATTCTCTTGACATGTGACCTTATGGCTCCTAGAGTCTTTATTAACATCTAACTGACATAGATTCCTTAAGGAGGGTCCAATGTCTCCCTAATAACTGTGGACCTCAACACAAAATATGGCAAATTGGAAAATACAAATGTTTAATAAAAAAGGCTTAGGGACAAATATATGGGGCCACAAAGAGAGGTGAAGCAACACAAAAAAATCAGGTCTTCGTGTCTGGATGAAGCGGTGGCTACCAGACACTAAGAGCCAAGTCTCTTCGGCAGGTCACCATGAAGGTGCTAAATATAACAACAAAGAAACAAAGACAATCTCAGCAGCAGTGAGCCTGGACAAAGGAAGCTGACAAATTATTCCTTCAGAAATGTTTATTGAGAGAAAAGGTCATTTGATAGAAACTGCATAATATATTGAAAATCACAAAGCAGGACCTTAAAGGGCTTCATCGACAGTGAGACTAAGAGGGACCAAAGAAAGAAAGCCACCCTCTGTGGGAGGGATGGCAGGTGGGAGGCCTGAGGGACAGGGAGAGAGAATGTTGCCATTGGAGGGACTGCAGGGGGGAGGCCTGCGGGGTCTTTTCTGCAAAGATCCTCTGAGTAATCTCAAGAGCAAAGGAAATGCCAGACTTTTATTAAGGTTTTGGGGAAGCTGGCAGGAAGTTGCATATCACGTGATTTATTTCAACATAGTGCCTGACAAAAAAACATGGAGAAACCAAGTACTGGTTAGGACCATAAATTAGAAGCTCTTGTTAAGCCACAGCACAGGCAGGTTCCTGGTTCTCTATCCCAGGAAGAGCTGCAGAGAGGTGTGGCCTGATCTCTTCAGGCTGTAAGGCCTGCCTGCTTCTGTCTTAACCGGTACCTGCATGCGCTTTAAAAAAAACATATGAAGTCCTTAAGGAAGGAGGTTGCCCAGCTGAGGAGACCATCAGGGAAGAATCAACATGATCCTTCTACCTTCTTCACTCTCCAGACTCCTCAACAGCAAACCCAATCAGAAAACAGAGCGGGGGAGGGGGGGGCAGAAAGCCATTAACATAAGCCCACTCACACTAGCAAAGAAAGGCCTCGCAGGGAGCCAATGAAGGGATCAGACATCATCTACCTAAAGGTTCTGACACTTCAAAGAAGTTATTGGTGAAATGAGTATCTAACATTCACTCTGTATATTTTATCTTTTAGTTCATTTAGTAAAGTCATTAGAAACACACACATGCACACAGGCAGCTTTTTGGAGTAAAATTTTTGTATATTACATTCTTTTTACCTCTGCTCAAAAAGACAATTCCCTCTTCTTGGTTATAAATACAACAGCTTTCTTGAATTAATTTTGTTACATAAATTTAACTTTTAGCATACTGTTCTTATCTCCCCAGCCACTTTTCACTCTTATTTTAGAGGATGTAAAGTACCCTCGTTTTTGAGGACTCTGTTCAGGCTCCATCCTTAGAAGAATAAAGAATTTGTAGTGTGGATATGATTTGCTAATTGGACAGATTGGGCTTTTCCACTCTGGAACATGATCTGTGACTCTAACAGCACTCAGGTGGCCCACCTTTTGGAGAGAATGCTGGCCGAGATTATCTTTACTGCCTGGTTCGTAACAGTGTTGTCCTCTCAAGTCTGATGACAACACTTGTGTGTGTGTGTGTGTGTGTGTGTGTGTGTGTGTGTGTGTGTGTGTGTGTGTGTTTGTGGGTATGTGTGCAAGTGTGTCTGTGTGTGTGCATGCATTCATGTGCATAGATGTGTGCAAATGTCTTCATAAGAGCCAGAAGAGGGTACCAGAATTGGGGTTATAGGCAGTTATGGGTACTAGTAACTGAATTCCAGTCCTCTCTAAGAGCAGCAAGCCCTCTAAATCCCCAAGGTCTATCTCCAGTGCCCCAATATTTCTTAATAAATATTCCCACATTCACTTCATCAATTGTTTTCACACTTTATTCGTAATTTTTTAAATATACTACAGGTGAGAAGAAAGTAAATGAACTGTGAGGACAGGGAAGGAAATGATTAAGTTAATAGCCAAAAGAAGAGAAGCAAGGAGCCAACCCCAAACGAAGATCCTGAGAGCACAGCAAGGGAAATAGAGGTAGGAGCCAGCCAAGTCCGTAAAGGTCCACAAGCATTACCTTCCATCCCCAGCTCCTGAGTAAAAGCAGCATGTGGTGGTTTCCTATAACCTCACAGAACCTCAGTCCTAACAAAGCAGAGACAGGATTGCTGGGCATTGCTAGCTTTCTGGTCTACCCAAATCAGTGAGCTCCTGGTTCAGTGAGAGACAGGGCTCAAAAAAATGAGGTGGAGGGCTTACAAGATGACTCAGAGGGTAAAGCCTGAGTTAGGTCCCTAGAATACACACACACACATACACACATACACACACACACACACACACACACACACACACACACACACACACACACACCAGAATGAACATGGAAGGGAAAACAAAAAGTAAAAACTGTTTTGCCCATTCAGAAGCAGCAGGAACTTAAAGATGACCTGAACTGTACCTTCTCACCACACACTCTCTCCCTGCTTTTACCTCCCACATCATTTCTGCCTCACACCGTAAGTGGCAGGTCTGCAGAAGTAGGGCTGAAGCTGAGGGCAAGGTGAGGTCACCCGGGGCTTTGACAAAGTGCCGCTAACACATCTGACACTGAAGTCTTCGAGCTGAAAGCTAAGGAGTTGCCCTACCACTGTTCCTGCTGGAAGTGAATTTGACTTCGTGTACTGGCATCGGTCCAGGCCATTGATTAGAAGATACTGAAAGAAAGCAGACCTGTAAGGAGTTGGAATTCTAACAGGTAAACTTCCAAACTCAGGTATTTCATAGCAGGCCCAAAGATTTCAAAAGCCTGGTTGTGAAAACCCAACATAGCTTCATTTGGGGCTCACTCGAAATTATAACAAGTTTCCTTCTTCCAGAACTGCTGCACAGAGGCATACATCCACTTTCTACATGTCCTGTTTCTCACCCCATCACCTTCAACTCCATTCATGTCTATCTGCATGCTGCCCCTCCCTCCTTAATGGCAAAGAAAATTAGCTGAAAGAAGTTGCTGAACTATTCATTTTTTTTAATTTCTACTTAGGATAGTTCAATGAATATGTCAGGAGCAATGGCGTCACAAAGACAAAATCCATTTCTTGTTTTAACCAAGAGCTACACTGGAAGAAATTAACTGTAAAATTATTAGTCAGATTTCTTTTTTCTGGGAAATTACTGTGAAGGGAAATCGAGTTGTCATTTTTCAAATGGGTATGGGAGATGCTCTGGTGCCCTTGACTACAAATCACATGCACTCCCGAGAGACCCTGGAGTTTCTGGCACAAAGAACAGTGTGAGACTGAGTATTAGATAGCCAATTTATATCCAACCCAAAAATGTGATTCTTCAAAAATATCATACTCTTCTGCAGTTCATTTCATAGCAGTAGGAAAATATTACAGACATTACAATAGCCAAACTCAAAATATATACATGAATATTTTAAGTGTATAACTGAAATGCATGCCTGGGGCACTGAGCCAAAGGGCATTTGGAATCTCGAGGCAGAGAAGAGATTTTATGAAGTCATAGCGATTCCCTCCCTCCTAGATTGTAAGTCCAGACTCAGAAAACTAGCTGGCATCCTAGTTACGTTTCTGTTGTGACAAATACCATGACCACCAGCAGCTTTAGGAAGAGAGGGCTTATTTCATCTTGTAGGTCACAATTCTTCATTGAGGGGAGTCAGAGCAGACACTCAACGAGGAACCTGAGGCAGGAACTGAAGCAAAAGCCATGGAGGAATGGAGGAATGTTGCATGCTCCTCATAGCTCACTCAGTTTACTTTCCTATACAACTCAACCACCTGCACAGGGGTGGCACCACCTATGTATGGTAGGCTGAGCCCTTGCACATCAATCATTATCAAGAAAATGTCCCACTGGCTTACATATAGACTAAACTGGGGGGGGGGAGCATTTTGTGAAGTGAGGTTCCCTCTTCCCAGATGATCCTCGTTTGTGTCAAATTTGACAACAACAACAAAAATAAAAACCTAACTGCACACTAGAAAATTCCCCTCTATCTTCTTGGAAATGCAATGATGGAAAATCCTAAAGTAATGCTTACAATAAACACTTCCGAAGGGTATGCATGTCATGGGAACATCTGAAGATGAGTTCAGCAGCGATCAGTAGAGCAAAGTATAAACTCTGACCCACAATGTTCTACAGCACTGGACTTAGAGCATATAGAATTTCTATCAACTTTTTTTTTTTAAGATTTATTTATTTATTATGTATACAGCATGTATGACTGCAGACCAGAAGAGGGCACCAGATCTCATTACAGATGGTTGTGAGCCACCATGTGGTTGCTGGGAATTGAACTCAGGACCTCTAGAAGAGCAGTCAGTGCTCTTAACCTCTGAGCCATCTCTCTAGCCCATCTATCAACTTTTTTTTTATAAGTTATGGTCCTGAAAATGTCCCTGTACCAGGAACTGTGAATCTTGGAAAGCAATCCAGGCAATGGGTCTCTGTTTGTATCTTGATGGTTCAATGCTAGCTAACACAGTGAGGAGACTTGTATTTTGGATAGATGTCTTCACAGAGAGCAATTATTGCTATAGTGTGTGTGTGTGTGTGTGTGTGTGTGTGTGTGTGTGTGTGTGTGGTGCATGTGTATATGCACATGTAGGTGCAGGTGTGCGTGTGTGTTTGAAGCCAGAGGTCAATGTCAGGTGTCTTCCTCTGTCACTCTTCTTCCATCACTCTCAGCCACCTCATTTTAAATGGTTGTTTTAATTATATTTGTGTGTGTGTGTGCATGTGTGAGACCAAAGGACAACCTGTAGGAGTCAGTCCTCACCTTCACTGTGTGTTTCTCAGTCTGTCAGGCTTTGTGACAAATACCTTTACCCACTGAGCCATCTCACTGTCCCCACCGCAAACACACATAGCATGATTTCCAACTCTAATGTGGGACTGAACTTGCACGTTCCGCTCTTCTTGGATGTAAATGTCAAATCCAGTCATAAACATTTCATGGAAATAAACCAAGCTCTTGCTTATAAGACATGTGCTTCCAAACAGCCGTTCGATACCTTGCTCAGTGAGCTCCAGATAGCTTCCTACCTAGTTGTCAATCTCACATAAGCAAGCAAGGGTATTTATTCATTCAGTTAATATTTGCTGAGCCCATTCCATGTGCCAGCCCCTGTATTCAGCACTGGGAACACAAAAAGAAGTAAGACAGCATTCCTGTTTGTAAGTAGGTCTCCTCTGAGCAGGAGACAGAGGCCGGTGAAAAGCTAATCACATAATAAGTAGCAACAAACCTCACCCTGTGGGAGAGCAGAAGAGGGTACCAGACTCTCTCTGAGGATGTCAGAGAAGGCTGGTATGGTGGCTGCTGCCAGAACCCCTACCCTACCTTCACGGCTGGAGTGACCACATCTCTTGCTATTAGGAGCCCCACTAGGGTCATACACATGATCACAGCCCCTTCCCAGGAGCAGCTCACACTCATAGGCTGAACCACACTTGGAAAATCTGTGATTGTCTTAACACACACACACACACACACACACACACACACACACACACACACGGTGGGGGGGGACCGACAGGTAGATATGCAGATGAATGGATGGGGATGGATACAGACAGGCAGACAGATACATGGACGAATGGACCCGGACACAGATGGATACATGGAAGGGGACATGGATGGGGACACACACAGAGAGATGGGGAGTGGAGAGAGAAGATAAACAGACAGATACGCAGATGACAGACAGGGACATGGATGGATACATGGATGAGGATGGACACAGAGAGACAGACACACAGATACATGGACAAATGGACAGGGGCTCAGACATGGACACGGATACATGGACAGGGACACGAATGGGATGGACAGGGACACACACACACCTGACCAGGTCAATAAGGCTGTGTAAAAAGCTCCCAGGCATCTGCAGGACTGACTAGACCTTTGCTACGTCTCTACATTCCTCCACCCACTTCTAGCCCAGGAATAGACAAACCTTTCTAAAGGAGCTGGGTAATAAATTTAGCCTCTGCAACTACAAAAGGTAAACCTCAGCAATATCTTTTTGTTTTCTCACAATTTTCTTAAAAAGATGTAAAAAAAAAAATTATTCTCTCTTAGCTCAGAACTGTACACAAACAAGCCAGAGACCAGAACTGGTTTCCTGAAGGCTGCTCCAAACAGCCCACAGCTGCTCATTTTAGAAACATCCAATGAAAGCTGTAAGTTAATCTCTGTTTGGAGGCCGCTCCTGGGAGCCCAACTGTGAGAAAGGAAAGTCATGGAGACAGGCAGTTTTAACACCAGTATGCTAGTCAGAAGTGGGGTGACAATGTTAAACCTGACCTTAATCCTGCAGCCCTAGAAAAATAAGTTAATCGTCTTTACCCATTCTTTCCCAAAACCCATCTCCCTTTTATTCTCCGAGAAAGCCTTTTCTGAAATGAAACCTTCCCCAGGTAACTTCAATAAATGCTTCTTAAAATTTGTCCATGCATGGCTCCTAAGAAACTTGTACATGATCCTAGGTATTTAGGTACATAACATACAATAAAACACTTACTAGTAGTCAATAGCAAATTTATTTTAAAGCAGTTCTTTGGTATATACATGATTTTACCACTTATTAAAGATTAAAACAAATTTGCATACTGATGAGGTGATGTGCTTGTTTGGCAAACATAGAACAATACAAAGATATGCTAATTTGATATTTGCATGCCAAGGATTGATAGCAGCAAAATATTTAAAAAAATCTTTGTCTTCCATAACTAAACCATTTTGTATGGGTACAGAAAGCTTTGTATGTACAGCCAAAACACTGTAATCCCAAACATACAACAGTCTCTATTCTGAGCTGCATTTCAGGCAGGGTTTGTTGGTGGTATATGGTGTAATGGTGTGCAGTGTGCAAAGTGTGCATATGTGTTCAGACCTAGGCTGCAAAAATTCCTCATGATGCAATATAGACGGTAACTATCAAAGACACCTCAATTCATTACATGTTTTACTTTGAATTAATTTGGGGGCGTTGTACATCCAGAAAACTTTTACACTTGCCAAAATCTTTATAGTTCCCATATCCAGTCACACAACCCCGGATGGGGTCATAACTCACAGTTAAAGACACTTTGAGTTCACTAAGATTCACAGCACAATTGAACTTTTCCTCCCCACTCCCATAAGACACAGATGACTCCTTCCTTTATGGATGATAAGGCCAGACACTGACCCAGAGAATTTCCGTTCTTTGTCTCCTACATGATGAACTGAACCATGTATCCCCATACCCTAAAGAAAACAAGCATGACACAGGGATGAACATTACTTATTCATCTGTCTAAGGACCCCTTCTGGTGACATAAACTATCATAGCTGGCAAACTATTCTGGCTGTAGCTTGTCTGCTCTTCCCACCCAGCCCAGGCACTCTGACCTTCAGCTCTGGGCAGCTCTCTATCACAATATTCTGGAAATTTCCCATTAGTTGCTTGTTCTCACTTGTTCCTTTGATAGTGAAGACATAACTGTAGAAACATAGTGTACCAAGACACCAGGTACAAACGGCCTGATTGGTCAAAAACATTGAGCAGTTTGATGTTGGGGACACAGAGCTCTGGTTGGGGCCAGAGCTCAAGGGACATTCGGGTGGACAGCAAGCTGAGGACATTGCATATTAAAGCAAGCTTTTGATCTTTAAAGCTGTGGTGTTCCTGCCTTTGTACTGCCTCCTCTTGAAGACCAAGTGACTTGGCCACTAGCAGAGAACAAGTCCTACAAGAGAGAAAAAAATAGATATTAAAGCTGTCACCAAAAAGAACACCGTACCCTGCAGTGGAAACCTCTAGCTGGCAAATCCTTAAAATCCTCACAAAAAACAATAATGGAAAACTGTATGTCCACTAGTCCATTTTTAACTCAATATTGATACTGAAGTTTCTTTTCCTGGGTTGCTGGAATTACAGACATGTACCACTGTGCCTGGCTACAAGGTCTGTCTTTCAAAGTTTAAAGAGTTCTGTAGAACTGGTGGATTTTAAAGATTTGCCAGGCTGAGGACATCACATATTAAAGCAAGCACACACTTAAGTGAATAGAAATGAGGACTTTTTGGTGTGCGATAATATCACTCAGCTCTTTAAATTCTATTAAACTTTTTAAAAATTCATTACATTCATTTAGTGTATGTGTGTGTGTGTGTGTGTGGAGGGGGGTACATTCATGCCAAGCAATTGCAGATGAGTAGAAGCCAAAGGACAACTTGGAGTTGATTCTTTCCTTCACTGTGTAGTTCCAGGGGTCAAATTCAGTTGTCAGGATCAGCAACAAGCACCCTTTTACCCACTGAGCCATCTTTCCAGCCCCCTTTGAATTTTACACACACACACACACACACACTTCTAAAATAATGTCAAATGGCAATTTCTTTGAGTTCTTCTATTGTGTTGACCACAGATAATTTGAAGCTGCCTTGCTGTACAAGATATTGTTATCCCATCATTAAGTCAATGGGATTAGTTTAGAGCATGAAGAAAACCAGGATTCTTCCATGCCCAGCCTCATGCCTATAAATCATTCACTCTCGTCTTATTTAATCAGACAGGGAAGGAGCGGCTATAATAATACATTTAATTCATCTTTGAAACAGGTCAAAATCCAGGAACATCAGGGTCAACTTGTTCAACCAGTGGAAAAATATACCATGTACCGTAACTGTGCAAAGGCAAACTATGTTGCTAAACCATCAGCTAAATGGAGTGGCAAGGTTTAAGTTTTCATCCAGTAAGTGTTTGTTTACACATATTTTTAGAAATATAAAATTCAGGGCTGGGATCATGGCTCTGGTGCTAGAGTGCTTGCCTAGCATGCACAAAGCCCTGTGGGTCCAATATAAAGCTTCCTTTGTCTAGAAGGTAGAGACAAGAGAATTAAAAACCCAAGGTCATTTTTTCATGACAGAGTGAGTTCAGGACTAGCCTGAGATACATGAGACCCTGTTTCAATAAAACAAGAAATATAAAAATCATTGTAAAATAGTCAGATGCTTACTAAAAGCCATTAAGATAAAACATTTTCATATCTAATATAACATAATTTATCTACAGTCTTCCAAATTGGAAATGTGACAAAATGCCATCTCATATACACATGAGTACAGTAGACAGCTAGGTTTAAGCGCTATTAATGAAGTGAGAATAGTGGTCTCAGTTGGTTTATAGTCCTTTGGTGTGTGTGAATGCATGCATACATTTAACTCAGGTGTTCAATTTCCTTCTATTACTCAACAAGAGATATCTATAAAATAGACCCAGAACCAAAATTTCCTTGCATTTTATGACAGAAATTATATGTACTGCTAAAAATTACTTTATCAGTTAGCATATTTTTGCTAGCATAAAGCAGAAAATATTAAATATTTTATAGATGAATGAAAACAGAGTAAATATTTTATGAGGTTGGACATGGAAGCTGCAGTAAAATCTCAGCACTGAAAAGGCTGAAGCAGGAGGATGACCATGAGTCCCCAGGGCAGCCTGGGATGCAGAGTGAGACTCTGTCTCAAAACTAACAAACAAAAAGAATAAATATCTTATGAAGGGTCTTAGAAACAAGTTTACTTGAGCAAATGATGAATTCCCGTCTAAAAGAAACAAAATGTTCACCTACAATTTGCATGCAGCAACCTTCAAAAATTTAATGGTCTCAGTTTTCAGTAACATGTAAAAGAAACACTTAATGTTCAGCTAGTGAAGCCCTGGGTCCAGCTGTTGACTCTTCATCTTGAGCTATGAACACACTTGTGAATGCCTCAGTCATTACCGGCAGAAGCCCTAGAAATCTCTTTCTGTAAGGCTCTCTCTCTCTCTCTCTCTCTCTCTCTCTCTCTCTCTCTCTCTCTCTCTTTCTCTAATACCTTCTTTTGTTGTCATTTGGTTTGGTTTGGTTTTTGAGACAGGGACTCACTATGGAGCCTTGGCTGACCTGGAACTCACTATGTAGACACCAGGTTAGCTTTAAATTCCCAGAGATCTGCCTGCTTCTGCCTCCCCAGTGCAGGGGTTAATGGTGTGCACCACCACACCCAGCACAATCTCTTTAGAAGGGAGCATTCTTCTACAATACTCAAAGCAGTGGAAGAAGCTCATTACTGGACCACACTAGCCAAGTTCAGAGCACGGACAGAACTCAGATGCCCTTCTCATAGCATCTAAAGCTTTTCATACCCTGGGAAAACACGCCTTAGTGAGATGAGGTGGTAGGAGGAAGGACTGTGAGAAGGAAAGTAGCAACCGAGACTTTTCTTGAATTCTATGAATTTTCTTGAACAGTATGAGCTGTTCTCTGCAGACATGCCACAGGAAAACTACAGTGCACAGGAATTGGGCCTCTAGAAGTTATCTTTTACTTTTCATTGTAAAACTCAAACATAATTCTCATCCCATCTGAACACTGAGGCCATCTGCCTCTCTCCAAGTTACCAGTGAACAAGCTGTTCCCAAAAGCTAATGTAATACAGGGATGTGGGGATGGAAAGGGGTGGGATGGGATGGACAGGGTTGGGATGGAGTGGGAGGAGAGGGGAGGGAGAAGAAGAGGAATGGAAGGATAGATGGAGTGGGAAGGGGGGAAATAGAGTGGGGTGTGATGGGAGAGAAAAGGTGAGGGGTGGAAGGATAGATGGAGTGGGATAGGGTGGGATAGGATGGGAGGGAAGGGAAAAGGTTACTGAAGACAACAACAGGAACCTCACTGTCCAAGCACTTGAAGTAGCTCCAGGAAAGAATGTGTCCCTCCTGTTAGAACAGTGTAAGAGTTGGGGTGACAGCATGCTTGCACTCCCAACACTGAGGAGGCAAAAAGGTGAATCCTGGAGCTCAGTTCCCTACTTGGTGAGCTGCAGGCCAGTGAGAGAACCTATCTCAAAAAAGAAGCAGAGGATACAGCACCCAAGGAACAACACTCAAGGTTGTCCTCAGGTCTCCTCATACACACATACACACACACACACACACACACACACACACACACACACACACACACACGCACACGCAGCACAGAAGGCAGGACAATTGACACCAGCAAGAGAGAGAGAGATGGGGGATAAATCAGAACAAAGTATGATCACATGTACTTTGGCTGGAAATACCACAATGAAACTCTGTAGGCTGACTTTAACAATTATTTTTAAAAGCATTATAAGTAATGCTTGTTTATTGCCTAACCTTTTTGACAAGAAGATAAAAGAGATTTTAGTGGAAAATTTTCAGACAAATGCTTGTGTTTTAGAGTTCTGCCTGTTCAAGTAACTGGCATATAAAGAGACTCACTGAAGATGTTCAGTACATGTAAAGCAGGAAGGGCCTCTTTCTTGGCTAATAATTTATCTAAATTTTGTACTTCCCAAACTATCATACACATGTGTATGAAACTTTATATGCATGCAATAAGTAATAAAAAGGAATTTGACTGTGAAAACTATTACAGAAGACTATGTATTCTTCACATTGATGATGATTAAACGTTAAAGAAAAAAGAACGGGAAGGCATTCTACAGAAAACCAAGCAGAAAAATTACTTGAGTGCTTTAATTTCCATTTTAAAAATTAATCTTGCAGCATTTCCTCCTGAATCTTATAATTGGTTCTATAGTTAATTAAAATTTCATTAGCGAGCAGATATGAAAAGCACTGCTTATTTGAAGTATTTATTATTCCTTCTCGGATGGCTAATGAATTAAAGCCTCAAGTGCCTCTGTTTGAAAGTAACCACCCTGCCCATCCATCTACTCCCAGAGAGTACTAAGTTAAAACCAAGACGGTCCCATATATTTGGTACTATTATTTTTCATAACTAAATTGCAAATGTAAATTAATTCGGTGGTACGTCCTGAAAAATTAACTACTATTTCAGCTAACATCATTCGTTCCACTCCACTCACTTCAGTGATTAAGATTCTATTTGAATTTCATTTTCATTTAAGCATATTATAGCTTTTGTCAACATTTTCCTCTTTGCCCTAAGATCTATGTGAAGTTGTATCAACAGCATTAACTTTTTTGGCTTTAGGTTCTCCATGGAGTGAGATGCTCTGTCTCTGTCTGGAGTTTGGGTCACATCCCATCACCTGCTCTAAAACATTTCTACGAACCCATCAATAGAAACCTGGGTGCTGCTGAAGACACTCTGGAATGGTTTGTGTTGAGATGCCCAGCCCCCACCTCCTTAGAGGCCTGTACTGAAGCTTTGGTTCCCAATACAGCAGTAACAGAGGCCTTGTGGGTGTTTCAGTTCTGAAGTTGTCACTGGTCCGTCAGCAGAGTCATTTTTAGTGGATTGTTGGGAGGTGGTAGAAACCTTTAGAGCTGGATGGTCTTAGCTGGGCAAGCAGGTCACTGAGGGTGGGTCCCCGAAGGATTCTCTCTCTCCTTTCTCCCCTCCACCTCCCTCCTCCCTCCCTACCCCCTCCCCTCTCTCCCTGATCTCCCCCTTCTCCTCCCTCTCCCTCTGTGTCTGTCAGTCTCTCTCCCTCTCCCATCTCTCCCAGAACTTTTCCTTCACCACACATTTCCTGACATATTTCCTCCTCAAGGCCCCAGAAACCACTGAACTAACTGACCATGGACCTGAAACACAAACCAAAGGAAGAAACTTTTCCTCCTTTCATCTGATTCTCTAGAGTAGTTCTTCCCAGTGACAAAAACCCTGACTAATATATTATTTAATATATTTCTTAATAACACATGGCCTACTAAAAATGGATTCAATCGTCTACAAAGCAAGAGCAGGTAAGAGAAAGAGGCTGAGGTTTTTATTAACAGTGAGTTTTATTTAGATCCATTTCCATATTCAGAAAACCATGAGAATCATTCTTTAAGGGCTTAAAACATTTCCTGTTGTGATCACTTCTCACTGCTAATTAAAAGTCAATTTTTAAAAAAACTGTTGCAATTATAAACATTCAAGCAGGCTTACTAAGCCGAATATAGGAAGCAAATTTTTCCCACCTGAAGTAGAAGTTAGGCACAGCAGTAAAGGGCATATGTAGCTTTTGGAATACTCTGTTTACACACAGACACACACACACACACACAAACACACACACACACACACACACACACACACACACACACTAACCTCAAATCCTAGATCCATCTAAGAGAGTAATATGGGTGCTGGTGGCTACAGCTACCCACTTCCTGTCATGAGACTGACTCACATGAAATTGCTGATATTTGGTCATTAACTGAACTGCATGATTGGCATTTTCTTACAGTTCAGCCTACATGTTTGGTGTAGGTTTCTCTTGGTTTCTATTTTGGTGCTGAGATTGAATTCAGCCCCTCAAATGTATTAGGGACAGGCTCTTCCACTGAACTATAATCCCAGGCACATCGCTCCATTTTCATCTATTTCCTGTGTGATTTTGAAGCATGCTAGGAGTTCTGTGGAGTACCCTGCTCCTGAGGAGTAGCAGGAACTGGTGCCATGTGAGAGGATCTTGTGGCAGGTTCCAGGGATCTGTCCCTGTCTGATCAGATAATCTGTCTTGTTCTCTTTAATATTATGAGCACCTAGTAATACACTTAAAAAGAAAGGAGACTAAGCCTTCCAAGAATAATTTTGAAAAATCCGATACATGGGAAGGAGAAATATGGTCCGAGTACATGATATATGAAAATGCCTTTGTGAAACTCGTCACCAAGCACAGTGAATATATAACAAATGACCCAACTGAGAAAGTGCTTGCTGCTCAAGTGTAGGGACTTGGGTTGGAATACCAGCACCCACATAAAAAGCTTATTGTGAGGATGCATTCTGTAAACATAGCACTGGGAAGGCAGAGGTAGGGGATCTCCTGGAACTCTCTGACCATCCTGCCAAGTCAAATCAGTGAGTTCCAGGTTCAGTAAGAGACCCTGTCTCAAAAACATAAGGTGGAAAGCAATTAAGCAAGACACCCAAATATCGACTGCCAGCCTCTACATGCATGTATATACACACCCACCTGCACACATGTGCACACACACACACACAAAAGAAAGATGTAAATTAAAATTCATCAAAAACTCATAGATACATTACAGAGTCATAGAAAGATACTGAAATCACAGTATAACAAAATACAATGACTTCATCCAGTATCCTCACATTAGAGCAGTTGCTGAGGCCCCAAGAGAAGTGCTGTCTCCAAGGCAACAGGGCAATTTTTTAGCAAAGTCATCATAGAATTCAATCCTTTAAGTTCTGCCCCCAACCTTACCATCAAATAGCATTATTGCTTCACAAATGCATGACCCAAGACCTCCACTTGCTAAGCCATGCCTCTAGTCTCTTCATGCATGCTTATGTGCTATGATCTCTAGACTTTCTCTTTTTACAGTCCATATTTCCAAGTTTCCTCCTGATAAAGATATGTTGACCATCATGTATCACACATATTTTAACAGTTTCTACTTCCATTTGTTCTCCACACATAACTGTTTTAGTCTCAGCCTACCAGAAGTGGAAGTACAAACATCAGGTGTCATTTTTTCAGGGCTGCCTCCATATTTCTGCCACTTTCCAAATAGGACTAAATCTATAAAAAATATCACTTCAAAATCAGGGGGAAAAAAGGAATTGGAGCACTTTCCATAATGAGAGTGAAATGGAGCATTCTGGGTACAGAAATGGACTGCATAGTCATCACAAAGAAAATCCTAGCCACCTTCCCACAAAGCAGAGCTAGTCCAAGAGCTTGAAAGATGAAAATTGCAGCTTATTTCCCTAACAGATGCAAACCACTCTTGCATAGCACTTGCAAGAGAGCATCTTGATGGAAATAAAGCATCAACCTTAACTAAGTAGACTGCTCTCAAACGGAGCAGTTATAGAATCCAATGTAAAGCCTGTGGGTTAAAGAGGTGACAGAGATGACCTCTGCCTGCGAGGTTCACCTCTTCTGTGAGTCCATGCTATGTGAATCCTCATGGGAGAGTTTAGAATGGCACCTAGGGCGCGTGGATTCATCACCCCCCAAGAACAGAGGGGGGCTATTCAAAAATGCAAAACTCATGTCATTACACATTGCTGTACAGGTATTGCATATGGGAGTGACATGTACCAAAATCTAAAACAATAATAATAGAGCAATCACAAGTGTTCAAGCAAGCAAACCTGTTCAAAAAACATAGAAAAGTTTATAGACCCAGAGAGCTTAAACAATTTATCACTAAGGTCAAGGGACGTACAGAAACTAAAATAAAACATGTTTTCCCTAAGATCTGGGTATTGGTATGTTTAAACTTTCATCTATATGAATTTTACCTTGTTCGCCTGTGTGAAATTGCAATCAAAATGTTTTCTTGTCCACCTGCAACAATGATGCTATCAGGATTAAAATCCTCATCTCTAGCACTATCGTATACTGCACCCTTTGTGATATACTGAATTACTATATACGTTTGAGTCTGTTTTCATCAATCTTTATGTGGCCCTTCCTTTAAGTCTCTGTCCCTCCCCTTACATCCTCATCACACACTTTAAAAATGTAGCATTGGGATTTTGTCATGGCTCTTTATTGAAAGGTCTTGACTGTCTCAGTGTTTTTATTTTCCACTCAATTAACTTTGGAACTTCACCAAAGTTATTTTTCAGTTCAGCTGGGGTTATGTTAGATTATCATCAAGTGTGGGAAAACTGACAGCCATTCCAACATTTTCTAATTATTGTGATCTTCAAAACACTGAGTTACATTCTGTAATTCAATTTATTCACACGAACCCTAGGACAGGTCACTATTATCACTAATGTAAATAGCAAAAAAAGTGAGTTTAAGAAATTTTTCTTTCTCTTTCCTATTTTACTTTATTTGTTATGCATTTGATTTATTTTAAGAAAGTTACTCATGTAGCCCAGGCTGCTTCAAACTCGTTATGTAGTAGAACATATTCTCAAACATTTGACCCCCCTGCCTCCACTGCTCAAGTGCTAGGATTACTGGTGTGCATCGCCATGTGTAGCTTTATTGGATACTAGGGAACGCACTGAGGCTCCATGTGTGATAAGCACATACTAGACAAAATAAGCTATGTGCTCAGTGTTGAGCTTTGGGGATTCTTAAGAGAGACTAGGTGGCAGACCTAGAAAATCAGCCTGAGTCTGTTAGGTGCTAAGCCATGATCTTAATCATTGCTGGGGTAAAAAATAATAATAATAATAATAATAATAATAATAACTGAGAAAAACCAACATACAGAAGGAAAGCTTCGGTTAGCACACAGTCAGGAGGTTGCCATGTGGGGATGGTTGGCCCATTGATCTGTAATGTATAATGGTGCAGGATGTCAGGGCAGGTCTGTGTCCTGGAGACTACTCACTTCATGCCCACCATGGAGCAAAGAGCAAGAAGAAAGCTTGGTGTCTGAGAGTCCCTTCACAGACACACTTCCAGTGACCTTACTTCCTCCCTTCAGGCCACCTTCCGAAGGTCCCACCACCTCCAAACAGTGCCACAGACTGAGAACCACACCTTTAACACAGCCTCTGAGGAGGAAGATGGGTGTGGTCACTCAAGTCTGTGATCTAAGCACTGGAGAAGTAAGTAGCAAGGATGATGGTAGGCGGTAGGGAAGTAATGCGCAGAATTGTGTGTTTGAGGTCAGCTGGTCTATAGTGTGGAACCCGTTAAAGAATAATCTAAACCATTGTGTTACCGTCCATCAAGTGCACAACAGCAGAGCATTACATTTGTGTTTCTTTACATTTCGGAAGTTGATTCCTAAATATATTGATTGTATTGTTTTGCCATCACTGTAAAAGAGACTCGCAGTGACTTTTTTATCAAGTTGGTTTATCCATGTCTTGTTTAGCATTTTCTTCCTAATAATTCAAGGTAAGATTTGTTAGTGTTTCCTTGGTGCTCCACCCTTTTCAGGCTCGTATGTCATATTTGATGCTGTGTCCCATGCTTGCTAACTGCATCCTTGAGAGTAGGAGCAAGACGCAAATACTGAAGTCAAACTGAGGGACTTCTGGGAAAGTTAATGAAGTTGCACGTTCAGATGGGGATGAAAAGGTCCACTGCCATCTCCCTCACTCTGCTTTCGCAACAAGACCTAAGAGAGTGAAGAGAGGAAGAGTCATCAGAAACGGCAAAGACTCAGTAACAGGGAAATGATCACATTAGGAAAACCGACCTTCATCCTGCCCTCACATAGCCCCCATCAGCACTCTGCATGAAGTGAGAAGAGAGTATGTGCACCCCCTTTCTTCCTTCCCTCCCCTCCCTT